TATATGTATATGTGTGTGTGTGTAATTTATAAATAAAGCAGAGTAAAAGTGAGTGCAGGAGTCATCTTTTCTTTAAAATAACATACAGTTTAGCCAACAGCATGAAAATTGTTTTAGTGATGGTCATTCACCAGGAACTTTCAGCTCCCTGGTGATCTCCCGCCAGCCTGTTGCCACCTTATTTAGGTATTTGTAGTGAAATGAAGAGGTAACCTACTGTGTAGATAAGAACTCATTACAACTTCATGAATCAGCCATTCCTTGTCCAACAGCGTGCAGTGAAGCACTGCAGCACTCGTGGCCAGTCAGGATTTAAGATAAGATAAGATACACCTTTATTGATCCCACAATTGAGAAATTCCAGTGTTACAGCAGTCAAGGAGAAAGAGTCAGATTAAAGATTCAAAAATTTAACTTAAAAACCTAAAAACTAGGCATGCAAAATAAAGTACAAAATTACAAGAAATGGTAATAAATAATAATAAAAATAATACTAATAATGAGAAGAGGATAATAATGAGCAGTAAATAAAAATGAGCAGTGGAATAAAGAGAGCATATCTAGTGCAAGTGATTGTATGTGCAAAAAACAGCAACATTTTGTTGCTGACACTCACTCTTGTCATAGTCACTGAGCGCATAATGTAGCAATTATTTAAAGAAAGATAAAGAAATCCCTTTAAAGGAGTCATCACCTGGTGTTTTAACATATCCCGTCTCTCTTTAATTGTCTTAAAATTATTTTTTAAAATTAATTTGCCAAAAACAAAATCAAACTTTGAGCTTGTTTTGTCCCCCCCCCCGCCATACCCCGACTTTCTCTCGCGAGAGTACATGCGACATTTTGACTGGTCGGGACGCTCATTGTAATAATGATAATGTGGCGCGCACTGATTGGCTGCAGGAAGGACAGGGCCAGAATGGGGGCTGGCCCAATACATCCATGAGTTGGCCGACTCCAAAATAACAACAATCCCTTCGTCATGGCGCACGCACCAAATGAACAACCTGACCGGGCAGCTGTTTATGGAATTCGCTCTTTTATGTTTGAACCGGAGTCGGAACCTGCCGGAGAACCTGGGTCTCTGCAGGGGTCCCCCGCCATGGTCTCCATTTACAAACATCCATACCACAGTACAACGCACCCCGGAGATGTAAAACGAAAGACGTGGGGGTCACTTCTAAATCACATGAGGTCCACAGGTTATACTAGTCCCTTGTGAATAACGTTAGCATCTAGCGTTAGCCCAATTAGCAGTTAGCTGCTGTCTACCATCATTTCAGGGTCAAGTACACAGTAAAACATACCGTTAACTGTTACACAAAGCGGCGAGACTTGACAATTGCACTGCTGGTCGGGCTTAGGCAAACAGCCTCCTGTTGTTACGTAACCGTAAGAGCACACCCAAAATCGCACTTTTTTGAGTGTGCACCCTTGTGGTTTGAACAAAGAGGCCAAACGAAAAAACAGAGCCACTTTCATCCTCCAAAATTTCAGGCAAGTTTCAACTGAGGTCCAACTCCAATATACACATATTAACAAGGAAAAATGTGATTTCCGGGTGACGACTCCTTTAAATAATCTATCTTTAAAGATAGTTACTGTTTTCAAGATACCACCAATCTTTATGAAAGCCGGAGAACGGAACAGTTTCAGTTTGACAAAGGTTGTAAACTAGGTGAAAAACAGGCTGTTTATTGGTCCAATAAATGTAGCTGTATTTTCTTTATCTTTCTGTTTTCTTTGATAGGTCAATAATCCATTGGTATTATTTTACCTGAGAAAGGAAAGTCCACTCCAGTTGTTTGTTTGTTTGCCCTCACAGAAGCCTTTCTATCTTTGGATTTTATTACTTATGATGTGTTTTGTTGCCCTATTGGATCAAGGGCAGGAAACTAAAACAGAAAGGAAAACATAAAGGGGACACATTGTCTGCAAGCACTGGAGTTAGACATTTCTGTTGAATAAACATGAGAAACTCTTTCTTATTCTTTACAGTTATTGTATTTCATCAATTTTTTTGAGCCCAAATTTTGAGCTTGCTGTGTCCTGTCATAATTTACTGTTAACCCAGCATTGCTAATACAATTTTTTAGTTGTTTGATAACCAAAGGCCAGTGTGTTGTAATTCCTGTAGGTCTTTATTTATGCAACACAATTAACATGACGGACAGAGCTATACTTTTTTATTGTTAACATCACCATCTTATCTTTGTTTCTGTTAACAGGTTTGTATTGATAATCTTTAGACTCTATTTTTCCTGGCCTTAATGATAAAGGCTTAAAAGACAACAGAAGCCTTTTAACCTTTGAATTTTATTATTTATGATGCCCGTTTTTAGCTATTTCCTTGCTGAGGTCAAAATAAAAGCAAAAAAGTTTTTTTCAAGTTTTTTGTTTTAATATCTATTAAATAACTAAACAAACTCCCTTGATATGTTATCGTATCTTTCCAAAACTGCTATTTGATATCAGTATCATATTTTACATTTATAGTTTATAGTTTGCGATTATTTCTCTTTTCTCATTTGAGCTTTTGTTTTGATTGAGACATTATCTGTGTAGGAAGAGATTTGGGAATGTTGGGAATTCTTTGTCTGATTTGAATGTAAAATGGTTTCTATTTTGAACTGTTGTCCGGCTTTTTTGTAGTTTGTGCCTGCTTATTTTTGATAATGCGGAGGCGATTTTGGTTTTAGGCCATCCTCGGGTCAGCTTCAGGTTGATTGCTTTGATTTCTAACACCTGTCCAAGTAAAATAATATTTAATTGATATTAACTGATACATAATATAGTGTCAATGGATATATTATATATATGTTGTACATGACCATGATTTTTTCACAGCAGAAATTAGGTCGTTGTAACCCTTAGTAGCTTAGTAGTGAGACAACAGAGCAATTTTCCAGTGGAACCACCAAGGTGACCTCGAAAACCTATTCTGTATCAGCAGAAATTTTAATTAGGTTGTTGTAACCCTTAACCTGAAAGACGCACGAAAACATACTCTTTAATTTTGTGATGTGTAACATGTTGTGCTTATACTGCACGTGTTTTGGGGATATCCTGTTGATAGAAGACACTGATAACTGTGTTTGTCAAGGCAATAAAGAGTGATTAATAAGATGTGATAGAGACGATTCTTTGATATTGTCTACTTTGCCTTCTTCATGTATGTGATTAAATTAGCCAGTCAGAGCCAAGTGCAAGTGAAACTATTTGTTTTATGATTTAGCAGTAAAGCAGCTGCAGTATATAAGCATGGAGGCGACAGGAGCAGGACAAAGTGGATGTATCACTGAAAAGGTAAGTCCTTTACATTTTTTTTTTATATATATGTCTTGATTTTAAAGATTGACACGTGAATTTGAAATACACACAAATGTCAAACTTCACAAAACATGTTCACAGCAGTAGCTAAGGTTCTGGCTAAAGATTCATCCTGGATGCATACAAGAGGTGACATCAGTAATTGGGAAATTTAAACATTGTTAGTAGTTATCTCATAAGAAAACTGAGTACTTCCACAGTTTGGAAGGGTTCAGATTTGTAAGATATTTCAACTTTTAATTTATGCTTTGGCAATTGATGTTCACTAACAGTTTCATGCTGTGTTCTAGATGAAGCTGTCAGTGTTGTTGCTGCCGGCCCTGCTGGCTCTGTCCTCAGCCAGTCTGCAGGACATTGTGAAGAAGAGCGCACAGCACAGAAAAGGTAAAGGTTTTTAGAAATGTCCTTTTCTTATAGATGTATATCCTGCTTGTTTTTTCTTTATGCCCTTTTTAAAAAGTGGTATTTATATCTTTTAAAAGTCATGTTCTTTATTGATGACATGTCTCTAAATCTATCTCAGGCATAATTTTCACTTCTATAGTTTAATGTTGATTACTGTCATTTGACTGTCCAGGAGCCAAATAAAAAATGTTGATATGTTCATCTAGGTCAGCTTCAATCATTTCTGTGCACTCATATGGGCTTAATGAACATTTGCAAATGATGTAGCGGTGCATGTGAATCACAAAAACTAATGAGCCAGCAATTCCTTAGAACAATGTACTGTTATGAACCTCAAATAAAAGAGTACATATCATGAAGGACGCAGTAGTATAGTAGTTTTGGATGTAAACCAGATCTTAGGTGGTCTCTATGGTGACATAACTTTGAAATCAGCCTTTTATTTTATTTTTATTTTTACAAAAATACTGGCAGACAAATTCTTTCACAAATCTGAAATATGGTTTTAAACAGTGTTTCGGGACTATCTGTTGATGTTGTCCAGATTTGACCAGTCTGTGTGCAGTAGTTTTCTATGTAGACAAGATGAGCTGGTCTGTATAGCAAAAATAAATAAATAAATGAAATACGATAGTTTCGGTGTCTGTTTTTTTCCACAAGCTGCAAGTGAATCTAGCAGGAAAACACACTAATAATCTGTTATGAATGATATAAAAGCTATATTAGATATGATATAAATGATCTGATTTTGATAAATGATCAAATATGAATTAAATCCTTCAATAGATTTATCAGTTGTGTCTAAACTGAGCGGAGAGAGAAGAGCAAACACATACACACAGAGACACACAAGCAGACACAAACTGAGCTGACAAGTGATTTAAACAGAGCAGAGGATCAGAACCACTTCCTGACTGGTGCGGAGAAATGCGCTTCTGGTGTGAACATTCAGACCACTGCTGATGGACTGCTGTGTGACAGTTAACACATCTGGCCGCTTTCGCCTCCAGTGTGACCCTGGCATTAAAATGTCCTCTTTCTGTTGCCTGACTGGCTGCTTTGCGAGCATTTGACACAGTGTGAAGCATTCACTACAGTCCCAGGGAATAGTTTAGTAGGTTTTAGTAGGTTTTTTATTAGCTACAGCATGCGGGCTATTAGTGGGGCAAGCCACTGGGAAAACTGCCAGTATGCCCAACGGCCAGTCCGGGCCTGGATGCAATAATCAAACACTGATCATAGATACAGTGAGGTAGTAAAGCCTATCTATCTATATAAACCATCTATCTATCTATCTATCTATCTATCTATCTAAACTTTATTTTCACTGCTTCTATTTCTTATTTTGAGGTAAACATATTGATTTATTGCCCTGATTCTTGCTTTCCCTTGTTTTTATTTAACATTTAATGACTGTTCTTTTCTTTCCCCTTTCTTTATACAGTTCCCTTTTTGAACCCAGATCTAGGGAACAGGATCCCTCAAATCCCTGCCAATGGGTCAGTGTTGCCTCCTCTGACTCCTGCTAAATTTGAGAAGAGGCTAGGTCAGTCATCCTCCTATATGTTTGGTGGCTCCAGCCTGGAATGGCAGACCACGTATGGCACTGTCCCACCTGGTGCTTTTTATATTCACAACGAATATGTTGGTGGACGTGTCGACTATGTATGTAAATACGGGTGTTCCTCTGGCTTCTTCAACCCCAGCATGGGTCCGTACTGTCACTACCCCTTGTCAGGGAAAGAGAATCGAGGCCGCCCATTTGAGATCTTGGTAAACAAGGGAGGCATTGAGGATTTATACTGGCAAGATGACTCCTGGGGGGATGTGCCTCCCAATTCAGTCAAGACCTGTTCTGGCCTAGACCTGTATGTTGGGAAGAACAAGTACGGTCTTGGGAAGGTGCAACAGTCAAATGGGGCCTTCTTTCTTCCCTGGCAGGGTGATGAGTATTGGTACAAGTACTACCAAGTTCTGATCATCAACAAAAATGTACGCAGTGAGCACATGTCAAATGTCGAATACAACACCAATGTTGAAACCGTTGCACTTCCTCCAGAGATTGTGACCACATCCGACATAACAAACAATGAGTGTAGCTCAGTTGTGAAAACGGTTGAGCTCTCAGGAACATATCAGGAGGAGAAAAGGTGGGACACCAGCATTGCCACCACAATCGGTGTCAGCAGTACCATCACTGCCCAAATCCCATTCATCAGCGCAAGTATTGGGTTCAGTGCTGAGACAACTGAGCAATTTTCCAGTGGAAGCACCAAGGTAACCTCGAAAACCCATTCTGTCTCTGTGGAGCTAACTGTCCCTCCAAACCACTCCTGCAGTGTCAGTATGGTAGGACATAAGTACAAGGCAAGCATCCCATTCACAGCTCATCTTACCCGCACCTACAGCAATGGGAGGACCAAACTGGCATATGTCAGTGGAGTGTTCCACGGTGTCAACGTAGGAAGAGTCCAGTCTGTTGTGGATCGCTGTGAACCTGTACCCAATGCTCAGCCCTGCTCTGAATAAGAAACAGAAGAGACATCTTAAGATATCTTCTCTGACATATTCAATGTAAATGTTGATGATAAATGTAGTGTACTAATTCTACTTCTAATTGGCTGGACAGCAGGGTAGGTTTTAGGAGTAGTTGCATTAAGAGCAATTAATATATTATATCTAATGTTGATGTTTCTTTTCAAACCAATTCACCAAATCTACATATCTCTGCTGGCTGATTAGTTACATGCACTCACCAGAAGTGAAGGATAAATTAGTTGGTTAATGAAAATCTCAGCCTCTATAGCTGTATTAAACGACCATTCCAGGACTTGAAATATCATTTTTTATGCAGACGATACAATCCTTTCCATGACTAGTTTGGATAAATTTTGTTGATTATGTTGATGGTTCATGTGGTTGTGGAGGGTCTGTCTGAGTTTGTTGACTAGAAACACTGAATACTGGAATGATACAGAACAAATTATGATTTGCAATGTGCTGGTGACACTGGAGTGTAACAGGACATTTTAAATTCCCTCATTATTGAATTGTCATTATTGAGTTTGTTTTGTACGTGGCAAATAAATAAACTCCCCTTATCTTGTGTAAGTGCGTTTTGTCTTGTCCTGTTTATTCTCTAATGTTATGATATAAATTGTAGGTTAATGGTACATCACCACAATGTAAAGTTGATACTGAAGCTAATGGGTATCCGAATAAACTCAGCTAAACAAATCATGTGTACAGTAAGCACCTACCCTTTTGGCACCAGACTAGATAAGTACCCTTTTTGTTCAGATGTTTTTTTTTTTAGCTCATGTCATCAATTCTCAATTAAAAGAGTGTTGTATGTCCAACAACTTGATGTGAGTTGAGCCCCTGCCCCTCCATCTTGAACCTCCCTTGTCACAGTCAGTTAACGCTCACAAACTAACCTTCCTGAGCAGCATCATGTCTCTCTGCTCCACCTTCATGGACAACCAGTTAATGACAGAGTTTGTCCTGAGCCTCTGCGCCATGCTGTGTCTAGTGTACAGAACTGTTTGGTCTGTTTTAACCTAGAACAAACACTGTACATGTCTTCACGTTATCTTGGCTCTGATATTAAACACTAAACAATAACTGCTCCAGTGGCATGAGAACAGACGTCAAGATGAAGAGTGATTACTCGTTAAGAATGTTGTTTCAAACCAGATAACCAGATTCCCTGGTAAGCTGCAGGAGCAAGTGGCAAAACAAGTTTAGTTTGACTTGGTTGAAGGGATTTAAAAAAAAAAACAAAACAAAACAAAAAAAAACATTAGTTGGATGATCACGTGTGGTCACGGATCACCTCTGGAGGTGGTCTGAGTACAGTTCACTTCATAGGGGTCAGATTTCTATTGGAGTGTTCACATATGCACAAAAAATGTTGAGTCACTGCTCTGACTCCGCATGGAGAGCTAAAAAGGTGTATGATAACACCCTAAAAGGACTGAGTTTGGAGTTTGTTTTAAAATGACAATGTGAAAACACCCTGTGTGTGTAAAAACTTCCACACTGTCCTAGGTTCCTGATTACATTCATTCAACTCACCTGCTCTCTGCTGCTCACCTGAGAATCATCCAGTAATCAGCCCTGCAGTATAAAACACTGGCTCTCCTCTCCAGTCCCAGCCAGATCGCTGTGGTGCAGTCATGCTTCAGGCTGCTGCTGAATTGTGAATTCAACTTAGAGTTTTGCTTGTGTTTTCCTCTGTCCTACCTGAGAGCCTGCCTGCCTGTTCGTCCTTGTGCCACGCTCCCAGCCAGCCAAACCCCTCCAACCTTGTTTTGTTTCCCTGCCATCCACCCACTCCCCTCACCCTGGATTTTCCCCTACAGCCACGTTCATTATCCTGGCAGTAAAGCCCCATATTTTTCCCCACTCTCTGAGTGTGTGTTCTGCATTTGGGTTCATCTTGTTGATTGTAACAGAAATAAGGTTGTGTACCTGCACACTTGGATCAATGCAAGTATCTTTAATGAACAAGCTTTTGGTCAACAATCAGCACATGAGCACAATGAACAGTATTTATGTGATTCATCAAAGCAATCAGTAACACCTGTGCTGCACCACTCCTGCTCAAATGGTAGATGTAGTTCAAAAGCAGAGTGAGTAGGAAACCTTAAGCCCTTTTCGGACAGGATTAGTTTTACATAGGGACGAGGGGTAAAGTAATAATTACCAGAGATTTTAGTCCCGTCCGAATGTGCCATGTCAGTAATCATTACCGCACGATGTCAGTAAAGATTACCGCGACTTTTACCTTCTGTAAAAGGGTCCAGGACAATTACCTCAGGTAATACTAATCCCAGGCGAATAGACCAGCAGTAAACATGTGTGTTAGGGCTGTCAAAAAAAAA